ACTATTAGACACTGCGCCCACTCTGTTGCCAGATTTGAGAGAAATAAGCAGGTCTATGAAAACAAGCCCCAAAGAAGCAACACATACATGATGTTGTGTAATTTGAAACCAAAACTAAGGCCTCAGGATGACTTTAAGACTTGAACATGGTCATTTTTGTTTTGTAACATTGAATACAAAATTTAAAAAAAAGTATTTAAAAAAAAAAAATCCCGATCCCCGATTTTTTTCCTCCCGATTCCGATATTTTGAAAATCACGTGATCGGCTCCGATCCCCGATCACGTGATCGGATCGGGACATCTCTAATTATTACTATATAGTATATATTTTCTTTTCTTTTCTTTCCCTTCTATTTGATGTTTCTCATTGAGGCCACACCTCAGGTCATTAGGATTATAATATATTATTCTTATTAATTTTCTCTCTGTGCTTCTTATTTAAGTATTTGGAATGTAAACTGAGATATTCGTAGATATCTTGCTTCATGATTAAGGTGAGATTATTGTCACCCATGGAGAGATGTTGGTTATATGTGCAGGAACTAGTCTGCACACATTTGAGTGTGTATGCGGGTGTATGTTGTATGTATGTATGTTATGTCTGAATGTTTACAAAAATGACATAAAAAGAGTATTAAAGAAAAGAAAAAGTTCCCCAGACAGGATGACGCTCACAGAAAATGCTGGTACATGTATTTTGTCACAGGTGACTCTAGAGGTCATTAATATCCCACATATTGATCTGTTGCAGGTGAAGCCTCTGCTGCAGGTGACCCGGCAGGAGGAGGAGATGCAGGCGAAGGACGAGGAGCTGGTGAAGGTGAAGGAGAAGCAGAGCAAGGTGGAGGGAGAGATGCTGGAGATGGAGAAGAAACAACAGCAGGTGCGTCACACACCCACACGTTACAGATCAGAATTATTACTATTAGGTATAGAGACCATTTGTTTGTGTTGTGTCAACAGTAAAAACAATACTTCTCCCTAGAATCAGAAACGGGTTTATCGCCAAGTAGCTTTACACAAACGAGGGATTTGATTTGGTGAAAAGGGGTAAACATTGAGAAAGAAAGATGGATAAGTTGAAAAAAAGGAGACAAAAAATCGAGCTATTTTAAAGACTTTTAATATCAAAAAATAAACAAAAACAGTAAATAAAAAAATTGAGACTTCTGTAGTCCATAGAAGATTAAAGACTACAATTCCCAACTCCTTAGCCTATTACGTTTAACGTTATTGTTTGCATCTAAGAAACAATAAGCCGTTTTCTTATCATTTTATTTGAGTTTCGCCTCTTTATTTTTAAAGTTGTGTTTCGACTATTTTCTTTGTTGGTGCCGACGAAACAACTTAAATCTTATATGGATTAAACTCACAAAATGCATTGCGGTAGGAATGTCAATTTGAAAAGGCGTCTAAAGTTACTTAAAGGTGGGGTAGGTAAGTTTGAGAAACCGGCTCGAGATACACTTGTTGTTATATTCCATGGAATGCTCTTAACATCCCGATAGCAATGAATATCTGAAGTGCTTTGACAATAAATCCATAAAATAAATATCATCTGTGGAAGCCATGGCGCTGTAAAAAGCACGACCAATCATCTGAGCCGGCTAAAGTAACTGGATGGCCTACCTGCCTGTCAGCCTTCCATCTGTGCACAAACTTATCTCGTGCCCTCATTGGTCATGTGCGCGTTCGTGTGTGTTGGGGGAGGGGCTCTGTGAGGAAGTGGCAGATTTGTTCCGGCTGTGTATTTTCAAATTCTAGCGCACTCGAGCTGGTTTCTCCAAAGTGACCTACCCCACCTTTAAGGAAACCCAGGAAGACGGACAAGACAATATGTGCAATCAACCGTGAGGAAACAAACTCAAAACGGCCCGACCATTAGCTCCAAATATCCATATCTATTCATATCTACGCTATGACTTGCAGGTACACCGTCACCCGCCAAAGCTACCTATGTAGATGTTATTTCAAGGATGCATGATGGAGGTTTCTAATGTCCGTGCAGTTGGTGGAGGAGAAGAACATCCTGGCGGAGCAGCTGCAGGCGGAGACGGAGCTGTTTGCCGAGGCCGAGGAGATGAGATCTCGTCTGGCCTCCAAGAAGCAGGAGCTGGAGGAGATCCTCCACGACCTGGAGTCCCGCCTGGAGGAGGAGGAGGAGAGGAGCCAGAGCACCGTGAACGAGAAGAAGAAGATGCAGTCACACATCCAGGTGAACATCTGGCTGAGACACTATGGTTTCACTTTGACCTTTTCCAATGATACCTATATGACTGTTAAAACCACTGTATATATACACGCTATTTATTTTATCGTTTCATTGCACTAATGTACTTTTAACTACCTATGTTTATATGAAAATATTTTGTTAATTTTTGTCTTTCCTCCCTGTGTAGGACCTGGAGGAGCAGCTGGACGAGGAGGAGGCCGCCCGGCAGAAACTGCAGCTGGAGAAAGTGACGACTGAATCCAAGATGAAGAAACATGAGGAGGACATTCTGCTGCTGGAGGACCAGAACTCCAAGTTCATAAAGGTGAGGAGAGAAGGGTCTGCATTCAGGCTGAAGAGAGGTGCAGGAATGAGTCATAATGTTAGCACTTCCTGTTCCCCGTCTTGAAGTCAATGGTTTTCTGATTGTGTGTTTGGTTGTTAGCCTAAAATAAGGTCTGTGGTTAACACAAGCTGAAGTGATTTTTGTGCTACGACATAAAATACGTCAGTAAATACCCCACTGGTGGATTTGAAAACGGAGGTTGCTAACAAGTGTCTAAATGAGACGACTAAACGTCCTCACGCCCAACATTAGCCACCTTTAGCTTAGCGGTGGTGACGTGAAGTCATGTGACCGTGCTGTAGTTCCTTTATAGCCCAACATTAGCCACCTTTAGCTTAGCGGTGGTGACGTGAAGTCATGTGACCGTGCTGTAGTTCCTTTATAGCCCAACATTAACCACCCTTAGCTTAGCGGTGGCGACGTGAAGTCATGTGACCGTGCTGTAGTTCCTTTATAGCCCAACATTAGCCACCTTTAGCTTAGCGGTGGTGACGTGAAGTCATGTGACCGTGCTGTAGTTCCTTTATAGCCCAACATTAGCCTCCTTTAGCTTAGCGGTGGTGACGTGAAGTCATGTGACCGTGCTGTAGTTCCTTTATAGCCCAACATTAGCCACCTTTAGCTTAGCGGTGGTGACGTGAAGTCATGTGACCGTGCTGTAGTTCCTTTATAGCCCAACATTAGCCACCTTTAGCTTAGCGGTGGTGACGTGAAGTCATGTGACCGTGCTGTAGTTCCTTTATAGCCCAACATTAGCCACCTTTAGCTTAGCGGTGGTGACGTGAAGTCATGTGACCGTGCTGTAGTTCCTTTATAGCCCAACATTAGCCTCCTTTAGCTTAGCGGTGGTCACGTGAAGTCATGTGACCGTGCTGTAGTTCCTCTATAGCCCAACATTAGCTTTTTACTCCAGAAATCATAAAGTGGTGTTAATATGTGGAGATTATCCCGCTGAACTAAACGTATCATAAACGTTTGATTGACACAGAGATTATTTTCTCACATGGAGAAATCTAATTGGTCCAGGGAGATGCTGCCTTCAGGGACCAAGGCAGAAATAACATTACAGCTGAATTAAACCGAGTGTGTTTTCTGCTGCATTAATGCTGTAAATCTGTATCAACAGCAGACTTTAGTAAATACAATCCTCTAAATTCTGTGTATTAAATGTCAAATGCAGACGGATGAGAGAAAGAAGGAGTGGGATTCTTCACAAAAGCAGAACATTGATATACACTTGATGAAGAATAGCTCCGGGGGCTCGGTCACAGTTGAAGAGCATCAGACTAAAAATCAATTGATTTCAATGGAGTTCCACTTTAGTGAACTTTGTCACCAGATTCCCCGCCGCTGACCGAACGCTCGCCTCACAGCGCTGACATTTAAGTGGATATAGAGCTGCAGAATAAAGGAAGCTATTGCATTAGCACACCACCACACAATAATAAAATATATATTCCACTGCAGCTAGACAGGAGGCAGGAGTACATGGTACTAATGCCTTTCATTTAAAGGACGTTTTTAAAGAGCCTTGTGTAGTTGGATCCCAAAAAACATTAAAGGTCCCGTGTCCATTTCTACTGATCATAGTTTCCTTGTTGAGGTCTACTAGAATAGATTCACATTGTTCAATGTTCCAAACTCACA